TACAATCATTCAGTTCAAGGACCTAATCATTATCAAACAGTACAATAACAGTCGAACAGGACAGATGGGGAATTTAAAAAAACACCCCTAAGCCGTAGCTTGACAGGCTCGGAACCTCGCATTGAGGCACATAGGTTGGCTTGACAAAACTGGAGTTTACCCCGGCGTTTCTAGCTGCGGTCTGATGCCTGTACACCTACATATATATATATATGAACAGTGAGCTAAAGCGCAGTGAATAACACAATACGTAAAGGGGTTAAGAATGAATGTCCTTACAGTGATGAAAACGGTTCATTTAATCAGTATTGCAGTCATTCAGTCAGTACAGTCATATGTGGTACATCCATTAGCATAACAGTATAGTAAACAGTAGGTCTTAAAGACCGAACAGTACATGATGGCCATCAGTCAGTAACAGTAGTGGTTCCAACAAGGGAACCGACAAAGATCTCCGTAACAGTAACAATAAACAGTAGTTGCTAAGGATGCTACAATACATTTCAGAATATAGGACATACATTCATTCAATTAACAGTAACAGTTCAGAAAGCAGTACAGTTCAATTGTTCAGAAGATAATCATTTTGAACATATCTTTACACAGTTGTTACTCACAGAGTTCTGGGCTACAGTAAGCTAGAGTGTCTCCTCAAAAAGCCAACCCTACACAGTTAACAGATTGAACACACACTAAGCTACACAGTTGGGAAAGATAATAACTTAACCCCTAATTTGCCTCGGCGTATTCTACATCTATATCCTCAAAAAAATGCCTTAAACTATGTCTAATAATGCCTAGGATGAGATGAGGATACAAAGATGCACTTTAAAAGCATTTTCAGAATATTCAGAAAACAGGGGTCACGCTCGAGCATAGGTTACTCCGCTCGAGCGGATATGCAGACAAAGATTTCCACTCGAGCGTAGACTTACCCGCTCAAGCGTTCTGCAAAACAGTCAAAAGTGCTGAAAAGGTGAAAATCACACTCGATTGGGCGCTCGACACCCGCTCGAGCATGAGACACAATGTCCCGCTCGAGCGTCAATTATTCCGCTCGAGCGGACTGCAAAACAGAACAAAATGCTGGGAGCACGATTTCCACGCTCGAGCGCCAGTCACCCCGCTCGAGCGTGAGTCCAGATTCTGGAAATTCCAAATTTGAACCTCAAGCTCAAAACCAAGTTTTCAAACCAAAAATTCGATCCTCTTGGGCCAATTTTCCAGAAAACACATCAAAACTCATACTTTAACATGATTCAAAGCTCAATTTGCAAAATCAAAGTCCAAGAGTGTTTCAAATAAACTCAATTTGAAACCAATTTTCATGAACAATATTTCAAACATGACGTGCATAAGTTTAACTCAATTCAAAGATTCAATTTCATGCTCTAGTGAGCCAATTCTCCCAAAGACAAGATGAAATCATGGACTTAAACACAATATAAACATGCATGTAACATTTTACCATGAAATCACCTCACAACTCAACAATTCAAACATGCATGCATGGAATGAGCTTCAATTTGACATGCTAGGACTAGAACATGACTCAATTCATCAATTTAGACATAACAATGCAAGAATCCACTTAAACACAACAATGAGAGGTTGAATTCCTCACCTAGAGCTTCAATTACAAGTATAGAAGTCCAATTAGGCAATTCTCCTATGATCCCTTCAAGTCTTCCAAGCCAATTCTCTAGAACAATTCAACTCTCTCACTTCCTCTCTCTCTAGTTCGGTGGTGTGCTCAAAAGAAGCTGAGGAAATGTTTTGTAATGTAAGGCTAAGGCTTAAACAAAGTTTGGTGTAGTGGTCCACTAGGGGCTAGTTTGGTAAATAATGCAACTCTTGTAATTTAGCACTATTTAATCTAATTTAATCATACCAAATCAGTTTTCAGATAAATATACCATAAAATTACACTAATTACGATGATCATAAAACACTAATCGGTTTCCGGTTCGGCCGCCGATAAGGCCTCCAATTCACAATTTAAACACAAAAATATGAACAAATAGTCAAACGGTCAAACAGATAAAAACGCATTTAACAGATACAGTTTACCAATCAATTTCAGATTTCAGTCAGTCAGTTCAGTAGTTTATTCAGTTCACTTATCAATCATAATCAGTTTCAGTTTAACGGTAATCAGTGGTTACTTGGTAAACAGTGACGAGGGTTATTACAAGTGTGATCATTGTCTTTATGGCAAGCAACATCGAGTATCATTCAGCTCAACGAACAAAAGGAAAACAAAAGTGCTCAGTATGGTATACTCAGATGTTTGTGGCCCAATCGAAGCGGAGTCACTTGGCGGCCGCAAGTATTTTTTAACCTTCATTGATGATGTATCAAAGAAGTTGTTGGTGTATTTCCTAAAGACGAAGGATGAGGTATTCCAACACTTTCAAGAGTTCCATACAATGGTGGAAAAAGAGGTCGAGAAGAAGTTGAAGTGCCTTCACATAGACAATGGTTTTGAAGCATATTATGCTAGCAGAGGTATCCGGTATGAGGCAACAGTGCCTAGTACCCCACAACACAATGGTGTGGTAGAAATGATAAATCGCACTATTGTTGAAAGAGTCAGATGCACGCTTAGAATGAAAAAGTTGCTAAAGTCATTCTGGGTTGAAGCCGCACATACAACCTATTATCTCATCAACAGGTTGCCTTCAGTCTTGTTAAATTTTGTGATATCTAAGGAAGTTTGGTCCAGAAGAAAGATATCATATTCTCACTTGAGAGTTTTCGGCATTCGCACACATCTCTAAGGAAAACAGATAGAAGCTTGATGACAAGTCCACTCTATACATATTTGTGGGCTATTCAAATGCAGCATTTGGATACAAGTTATGGGACCTAGTGAACACGAAGATGTTCAGTAGTAGAGATGTTGTGTTCAGGAAGACTAGGCAGTAGCAGATTTTGAGAAGTTTGTAAAGTCTAGAGATGTCATCACTCTAGACTTGTTCCCATCTCCTGAGCCATCACAAAATTCTAGATGTGATGATGTGTAACAAAAAGTGCCAAAGTTGTAGGATCCTATGCCAGAAATTGAGGATCAAGAGGAAAGAGATGAAGACTTGAATAAAGAAGGCGTTGAACAGGGGCAACTGGGCCTGAGTTGCGGAGATCTGGAAGAGCTATCGTGCCATCAACCAAATATCCCGCTTCTCAGCATATTCTGATTTCTGATGAAAGGGAGCCCGAGAGTTTTTCGGAAACAAAGAGTCATTCAAAGAAAGATTGTTGGATACAAGCCATGAATGAGGAGATGAGTTCATTGCAGAAGAACCACACGTATGAGCTTGTTTCACTTCCAAAGGGCAAAAAGGAATTGAAAAACAAATGGGTGTATAAATTAAAGAAAGATGTCAACGGTAAAATACTGCAGCATAAAGTTCGCTTGGTGATCAAAGGTTTTGGGCAGAAGAAATGAATTGATTTGATGAGATCTTCTCCCCAATTATGAAGATGAATTCCATTCTAGTAGCTCTGGGATTAGCAGCTCGCTTGAATCTGGAGGTAAAATAGATGGATGTCAAAACTGCCTTTCTCCATGGTGATTTGGAGGAAGAGATCTACATAGAGCAACTAGAAGGATTTGAAGTTAAAGGAAAATAGAACCTAGTCTGCAAACTGTAAAAGAGTCTCTATGGCCTAAAGTAGGCGCCGAGACAATGGTACAAGAAGTTTGATTCATTCATGGTGGATCACGAGTACACAAGAACAGTAACAGACCAGTGTGTATATTTTCGAAGGTTTTTGCATGGAAACTTCATCATCCTACTATTGTATGAAGATGATATGCTGATCATCGGACATGATATTGCTATGATCAACAAGTTGAAAAAGGACTTGTCGCAGTATTTTGACATGAAGAATTTAAGCCCAGTACAACAAATTTTGGGCATGAAGATTGTTCATGACAGGAAAACCAAGAAGATATGGATGTCACAGGAGAAATATGTTGAACAGGTGATTGAAAGGTTCAACATGAAAGATGCCAAGCTAGTCAGTACACCATTGGCCAACCATTTCAAGGTGACAAAGCGTTCGTGTCCCACGACCAACTCTGAAAGGAAAGAAATGGAGGCAATCCCCTATTCCTCTGCAGTAGAAAGTTTTATGTATGTAATGGTGTGTACCTGGCCAGATATAGCTCACGCAGTTGGCGTTGTGAGCAAATCCTTGCCAATCCAGGAAAGAAGCATTGGGAGGCAATCAAATGGATTCTTCGATACTTGAAGGGAACTTCAAAGATGTGTTTCTGTTTTCGGGGAACTGAACCAAATTTGGAGGGTTTTGCAGATGCCAATATGGCAGGTGATCTTGATGGTAGAAAGTTTACATCAGGATTTTTATTCACCTTTGCAAGGGAAGCTGTTTCATGGCAGTCCAAACTACAAAAGTGTGTTGCTTTATCTACAATAGAGGCAGAGTGCATTGCTATCGTAGATGCTGGAAAGAAAATGTTGTGGTTAAAGCGATTTCTTCAAAAATTGGGTCTATAGTAGGAAAAGTACAAGGTATATTGTGATAGTCAGAGTCCAATTGATCTGAGCAAGAATTCCATGTACCATTCACGTACAAAGCACATTGATGTTCGGTATCATTGGATACGTGAAGTGATGGAGAAGCAGTTATTGAAACTGGTCAAAATCCACACAAATAAGAATCCAACCGACATGCTTACAAAGGTGGCCTCGAGAGACAAACTCGAAGTATGAAGGAACATTGCTAGGATGGACTTCCAGTAAGGATTCTACTTCTCATAGGTGTGAAGGGGGAGAATTGATGAGCATTCCACACCATGGCCCTATTTGGTAGAGCTATGGGAAAGTGCTTATAACTTATGTCTTAACAGCTTATAGCTTATAACTATGAATATAAGCTGATTTCTGACTTATAAATTAAGCATCTCCTGCCCTACTCAAAGAATAAGTTGATTTCTGACCTACAAAAAGCTTAAGCTGCATTGTTAAGCTAAACTAAACACATCAAAATAGCTTAAATTAAGCTGAAAGCTGAAATAAGCAGCTTTTAAGCTGCACCAAACAGGCACGATGTGAAGGTGGTTTTTTGGAAGTCAAGAATGGAGGCTACATAAGTTTTTTTTTCAATTTAGGGTGGTTGTATATTAAGCTTGCCATTTATGTTTATGGTTGATGGTTGGCAAGCAAAGGTTGAACCTTGGCACTCCCGTTTGTGTATAAAATGGGAAGAGGTAGTTGAGTTAGATCATCAAAAAGAGAAGGAAACACAGAGAGTGTAATCTGTGAGTGAGAGTGCTATAGAGAGAGACAGTGAGGTGTGAGTGTTGTAGAACTCCCTCTGAGAAAAATTTTATAGTGGATATCTCTCTCGTGGACGTAGACTATTGCCAAACCATGTAAGTATCTTGTCTCTTTTCTGTGTGTGATTGATTTCTAGTGTGCCTTAATCCTAACAAATTTCTCTCTGATTAGGCTTGTGACCGAACCAGTCCACTCTAAATTTTGAAGCCACAATAGGTCTCATTAGGATGATTTGAGCAATTTATACTATCTATTTTTTTAAAGACAATAAAATTATGACTGTAACTATTGGATCAATTTAATTTTTTTCATGAATAATTTATGTACATAGAGATAAAAAAAAAAATAAACAATTTGAATCAACTTACGGGCCCTGTTGTGGACCCAAAATACTAGACAATGGTCTTTTTCACTCCACAAATAATTTACAAATTTGATAAGCATGGTTTGATTTCATAGGAATTGGTCTTCTGACAGTTCCCTATGCCCTCTCAAGTGGTGGTTGGTTGAGCTTACTACTATTTTTCGTAGTCGCTGCCATGACCTTCTACACTGGACTACTACTGAAGACGTGTCTTGATGCTGATCCATCCATTAGATCTTACCTTGACATTGCCGAACGAGCATTTGGCAATACAGGCCGAATCATAGTCACAATCATCATGAACTCGGAGTTGTACCTAGTTGGAACAGGCCTCTTGATACTTGAAGCTGACAATTTACATAAACTCTTCCCAAAATTCATGATCAAGATCGGAGCACTGACTATTGAGGGAACACAGTCGTTTGTTTTTATCACTGCACTTGTGATTCTGCCTTCGATGCTGTTAACTGACCTCAGCATACTCTCCTATGTCTCAGCCACAGGGGTGTTCTTTTGCCTCATTATCTTCATCTCTGTTGTGTGCGTTGGTGCTTTCAATGGTGTTGGTTTTCATGAGAAAGGAAAGTTGGTGGATGTGGGTTTCCTACTGCTGTCAGCTTGTGCATTGTTTGTTTTGCTGGACATCCAATTGTCCCTTCCGTGTACACTTCCATGCGAGCTGCATATCAATTCAATAAGGTAAAAGATCTTTTTTTTCCCAAAAAAATTCGTAATATGGTATTTTTGGCAGTAGCAAAGTGGATGGATTCTTTTAAAAAACTGATTTATAAAATGCTTCTTGAGTACTATTTTCTAGCCTGCAATTTTCCCTGGAAAATGGCTATGGTGAAGGGTCCATTGTCTATGCATTTTCTTTGAAGTCTTGTTCTTCTCCAAATCCTATCACATTTTTTTTTCCCCCGACCATGACCAACTTGCAGGTCTTGTTATCAAGCTTTACTGTCACAACTATCACCTACATGTCAATAGCGATCGTGGGGTATCTCATGTATGGGAACGATGTCGAATCACAAATTACGTTGAATCTACCAACAGGGAAAGCTAGTGCAGAAGTAGCGATTTACACCACTTTGCTTATTCCAATTACAAGATACGCATTGATGCTAACCCCGGTGGCAAACGGCATAGAAAACGGATTATCAGAAAATTACAAGAACCGGACACCTGTTAGGTTGCTGATCAGAATGGTATTGTTGTTCAGCACAGTAGTTCTGGCTTGTGTGTTTCCATATTTTGAGTCCTTGATGGCCATTGTTGGATCAATCTTTGTTGTTCTAGCTTCATTCGTGCTTCCATGCCTGTTCTACTTGTAACGCCCTCAAAAATAAACCCATAATATCATACAGTCAAGTTACAGGAAAGAGATATTATATTACTATCATCAGAGTTTCCTTACAAATTGTATTACACGTTGACAACAAAAGTAACTGCTCTATAGGTTTACAACTTTCCAAGTCAACACTTGGTTACAAAAAGAGAGTACTAACTCAAATACATATTAAGCCCTTGGTTTGAATTTACATGAAATACAACACAACAACAAAATAGTTTGTCTGCCTCTAGCCTCCCAAGCTATGTTCGTGGAGGTGGCATACCATCAGTACCTGAAAATGAAGTCCCGTATAAGGTGAGCCACAGCCCAGTAGAAATACACTAAACCAACTATAAACAATGACTAAAATAATAGCATTAGATAGATGGTCCACATTTATATTCCAACGTATACCATGTTACAGTTTCATGACGATCATGTCCATATTACAATTCATTTTCCATTTCTTATCCAACTTTAAGTTTGAAAACAAGGCCCAGAATCTGGCCACATAATTTAATGAGATGATAACTCATCACTAAAATACTTTCGAAATTCATAATGGATACACTTTTTGGTGCTGTATCAAAGTCAACAAAAACATTTCCATACATCACAAATGATACAGATATACATTTTAGTGCTACATCAAATCAAACAACACTTCTATGCTTCACAAATAATAATGATATACATTTTAGTGCTATATCAAATCAAACAAACACTTCCATACTTCACAAATTATACACATTTTAGTGTTGTATCAATCTCAAACAAAATCCGGTTTAGAGGTCCATCCCCCATCTTCTAATAAACCGTGGAGTACATCCCCCTATCTCCTCCCACACAATATAATGTATACAAGCAATTATCATATACAAATTTAATCAATCAAGACAAATGATACACATGGTAGTGCTATATCAATGTCAAACAAAACACTTCTATGATTCACAAATGATACACATGGTAGTGCTGTATCAATGTCAAACAATATCCAGTTTAGAGGTCCATCCCCCATCTTCCAATAAACCGTGGAGTACATCCCCATCTCCTCCCACACAATACAATGTATATAAACAATTATCATATACAAGTCCAATCAATCAATACAAAATTTTGATGTATTATACCAACCACCATATTCGATGGCATACTCAATTGATTAGTTTTAATTTGCCTAATCATCATGCATTGTCTACAACAATCAAGACTATCCTCCACCGATAGCCCAAAGCAGTTATTTCTAAACAGAAAATAAATGCACCAAATGGATAAAGTATCAACATTTTATCTAGGTGAGCGATAAATTAATCCAACAACACCCTTAGATCCCGTACCTTTCCAATTTGAATATTTCCTATTCAATTCCTCATTTCCGTAAATTAATTATACAAATTAATTTATCATAACAATTAGGGCTTTTTCCCATATTTACAATGCCAACCCTAAGGTTCCATTCTCCAACAATAATCCAACACCAAGTCCATCTTCGAATGTATTACGTACATAACGGTTTATATGTTTGAAACCCCATCTTTTGAAAAATTACACAATGACCCCAAACTTTCACAAAATTACGCAACGACCCCTAACATATCAAAATGTCAAAATTCAAAGACAAAGCTCATAAGATAGAGTAGGATATCCCTACCTCGAAGTTAGAGCTCAAACGGAAAAGAAGACCAAACTCAAAGTGCTCCAAACTCCAAACTTTTCGGATCAAAACGTAACCCTCGACGATCAACACACTTTTTGTAAAGGCCAAAGGGTAGAAGAACACTCTAACTAGATCAATTCTAAGAGAGAAGGGAGATTCTAGAGAGAGGAGCTCTCAAAAGATATTTTTAGAAAGTAAGAGAGAGAGAGAGTATAAAAAGTGATTCAAAATATCTCCCGCTCGAGTGGATATACGATATACGACTCTCCCGCTCGAGCGGATAATAGGACGCTCGAGCGTCAAACACAAAAACTGGACCCGCTCGAGCGCGAAAACCAGTTCGCTCGAGCGTAGATTCTCCTCTCCCAGTATTTTCACAGACAATGAACACCCTGCTCGAGCGCCAACATACCCGCTCGAGCGCGACCCGCTTGAGCGTAAGGAAACCCGCTCGAGTATGAAAAACACATCTGCAGAAGTTTTGCAGAGGCACAGCTACTGGAAGTGTGAAAACTCCGCTCGAGCGTGAAATGTCCTGCTTGAACGGACAACCAAAAATCTGGGCAACAAGGAAAGGGACTCAACCAACCTGTTCGAAACACGCCCAACACATCCTAAAACTCAAACATATGGAATTAAAGGATGACAACAAGACATACAACCACCAACTCCACAGGACGTAAGTCCGGAATACAACAATTACAAAGATGGGAAATCGGGATCGCTATACAGTCGAATTTGCTCGACAGATTTTTCCTCCCGAGGTCCAGCAGTCGATGGTAGGTTGGCAGGACTTCGACGTGTTTCGTGAAGGCATTCACAGTGCAGTGAAGGGGCTCATATATGTAATACAACAAGACAACAAAAGTAGTCTAACGGCCCCAAGCTTTCCAAGCTACGTCCTTGGAGATGGCATAACACCTGTACCTGAAAATGATGTCCCATATAGGGTGAGCCA